TCAACCAAAACAACTGGTAACTTTTGTCCTTCTTGCATGACTCATCATTGCCCATGGGTATCGAGAATGTGTTGACTTTAACTGTAAAAAGTCACAGTGGGGAGAAGACTCATGTGGGTAGAAAGAGCATGCTGAGGTACAGGTGGCAGTATCCAGGGCAGGTGGGGTGTTCAGGGCAAGAAGTGGGTGATTTTCTGACCGACAGAGGAGAATCTTCTGTCTTCCTCTCTGAGGAAAAGTTTGGAGTACCAATTAACTGCGATGTGCAGAGAGGCAGGATCTGTGGTCTCTTGCATATCTTGGAACTTGGCATAAAATCATGGTGGTGCCTTGGGCAAGGCAGTATTTTAAGCTCTGACATAGGAGCCCGTAGCTGGCGTTTGTCTCCCCAGCTAGAACATGTCTCCTGCTTCTGTTCTTCAGCTACTCTGAAAAAAAGCTGTGTTTAGTTATGCTCAGCCGCATCTACTCCCAGGGAGAGTAGGTAAAGTATTGGTGACTTTTGGGATAGTCTCACCCAAGGAAAGAGTTTCTCATCTAGGTCTCTCCTTTCCTTTGTTTTTCCTTTCCACTGTTGTGTTGCTCAGTTCTCTGGTAATCTTTGTTCAGGGACATTTGTTCAGACAAGCTGATCCTAATGGTCTCTTAGGGCCTTGACAGCCATCAGGATGGCTGTAGCAGGAAGCAGACACGTGTTTTCTCGATACACCATCTCAGAGTTGAGTACCTAAAGAACTCCATCATTCTGAGATACTCTGGATAACAGTCCTGTCATTGACTTTACAACATAGGGATGTGCTCTAGCATCATCTAACCAACATCTGGTTGAACTGCAATCACTGCTGTGAACATAAGGGCAATTTGTATGTCTCCAGATTAATTTAGTTCTGTTAAAAAAAAAAAAAAAGATTCACTTTTCTCAGTTTCACAGTTTTCTTGGTCCTTGTTTATGGTGGCACAACAGCCCTTGCTCCAAGTTATCCACAGTATGTGATCAATCAGATGGCTGAAAAAGGTCAAGGGCTTGAACTATTTAGAGACGGGGCTTGCTGCCCTTGTTGAACGTGGCTGCTCCAGTAGTGTCTAACACCTGCGAGCACCAGAATAGCTCTGGGGTGGGTATGGGATTGTCATTCATTTTGGTGGCTTGGACTCGACCTCCATCTGTGCCAGGGATGAGTCATTCCTAAGCCCTAGGGCAAATGATTCCTGCCCTAAAACAAGCGATGTAATTGCCATTTTCACAGAACTGCTGATGACAAGCGCTGGTTTAGCTCTCCCATGCTCAGATCTAAAGTGTAAGTCTCCCAGACCCTGATAATAGGATGGGCCTTTGTGGACTGGGTAGGAGGGGAACCACATGTCCTACAAGCAGGGTCCCTGGAAGGCAGTCAGTGTGGGAGAGGGCAGGAGGCTTGGACAAATGCAGCTACAGATGTTGTAACTAGAGAATTAGCAGCTGCTGGCATCCAGCTAAGCCCCTGCAAGTGATAGAGGCAAAGATCATGGCAGCACCAGCTCTAATGAAGCACTAGCAGCTGCAGGGATTGCTGCCTGCCTGAACTGGGGGGGATTTCTTTCCCCAGAAAGCCAGCAGTGTAGGAGGTCTGCTGTTTGAAGGATGTCTTATTTTACACTCTGACTGTATGTGCTTGAACACAGTTATACAGAGACTCAAACCGCTACGTGAGCTGCTTTTGTAGAAGTGCAAATAATAATAATTGCAGAATTGTGGCATCACTGAAAGTGACCCAAGTCCAAAGCAGGATTTGATTGTGTGCTTTGGGTGGTAGGGTTACGTGCTTGTACCAGATGGAGACTTTAAATTTTCATCAGCAGGTTTATAAACACAAAGAATACCCTTTTATCAGCCCCCAGGTCTTTTACTGCTGCAAATGCTGAACTTCAATTAGCATGGAGTGGAGGCACAGATGAAATAATATACATTCTTATTGATGATTATCCATCATGTGAGAATGAAATCAACACATGAGTAATAGCCTGTTTCAGGTTTTGGGACTTTTTTGGGGGTTTGGGTTTGGGTTTTTTTCCCTTTTAACGCATGCTTGGTAGTATAAATGAGTGAAAATTGCTAAAAATAATTTGGAACAGATTCTCTGGTGATGAAACTCCATTTCAGGTGAACGGAGTGCAAGTTTTCAGCCCTGCTCATCTTTGCATTGACTTCTATAGATGTTGGATCAAGCCAACACAAGGGTGTGTGACAACTGTGTTGTTAAGTATGCCGTGGAAGGATAGAGAGTTTACAAAACTCCATTTTCCCTACTGCTGAGAACTGGCCAGAGAGGTCTAAGCTTTGAAGCAATGCTGCTGTGTGTTGTCAGGGAATCCCAGCTTTCTTGATGGTTGCAGGTGCATAGAGAGGGAAAGGGATTGATTAGTTTAATGCTGCCTTTGCCTTTAGCAGCACATTTGCTGGCTTAGGTGGCGTGCTTGTGTGATGTACGTGTGCTGAGAAGCTCTTTCTGGACCCTGCAGGCATCCAGCTACTGGGCTTGTGTCCCATGGTTTATAAATCATTCAGGAGATTTGTGGATTACGATGGCAGTATCAGCTCTTTAGAGGGTGTTGAGGAAGGACCTCTACCTTGACTGATATCTTTTAGGGAGGAAAAGGGTTGAGTGTATTTGCAAAGATCAGTCTTGGCACATAGTTTGAGAAGGTATTGGGAAATTGTCAGGAAAGCTGAGGAAAGGTGCAACTTCATGGGATATAGATTGGTTCTGGGAATTCTGCATCTAACTTTTTATGTCTTGCCTTAAGAAGGCTTTGCTGGGAGAGTAATCCACTAAGAGGGTAGGGCCTACTGTTGAAAAATAGAGATACATAAATTTGAATCAGTAACTGAAAGAAAACTGTTCTCCCAGTAATATAATTGAGTACTTTCTGACTAATCAAACCCCAAAATATAACCCTGAAATATTGGTCACTGCTTCAGTGGATTGTACTTCAACAGAGGATGGCTGCTTTATAGGTCATACTGGATTAGAATAGAATAGAGTCATTTAAGTTGGAAAAGACTTTTAAGATCATCAAGTCCAACTGTAATGCTAACACTGCCAAGTCCACCACTAAACCACGTCCGTAAGTGCCACATCTACACGTCTTTTAAATACCTCCAGGGATGGTAACTCAACCACTTCCCTGGGCAGCCTGTTCCAATGCTTGATAACCCTTTCAGTGAAGAAATTTTTCCTTATATCCAATCTAAGATTGTGGGAGAAAGGCAGAACAGCATTGCAAAGGTCTCCCCTGACACCGTGAAACCAACAGGATTTTGTTCTTCCCGGATCATGTAGGGTTGAGATTTGTAGCTGGAGGCAGCTGCTGCCCTTTTACAAAATATGGCTGTGAGCTGTGTGTGAGGAGTAGCAAGATGACAGCATGGCACAGGGGTTTGCAATTGCCACAGGAGTCTGAGCGCAAGTGCCACTTGATTGAATTATCAGAGATGCATGAGGCTTCGGTTCTAACAACATAGGCACCAAGGCTGAGAGATTATTGAGGCAAAATGGACCTGTTCTTTTTGACTAGCTCTGATTTACTACTCTGATGGCATATATTGATGTTAAAAGAAGGCCACTAAGCTTTTTCTTTGTACTGCATTGGAAATGACACATTGCAAGAGGAGGAAAAGTTCTATTTAAAATTGCAGAATTGGAGATGAAGTGAAATTGAAAAGAAAGATCAAAGACAGAAAGTAGGGGGAGGAAGAAAGAGGCAATGTGCAGTATGGCTGCACAGACATCTTAATTTCATTGTAATGAATCTCTAACTACTCAGGAAGAGGAGGGTAGCTCTTTGTGTACTGGGAGGGACAGAACAGCCTTCTGCCACTGCACTGAGATTTCCTTTGAACATGGTCTCTTACCGAAATGAAGGACTGCACTCTGCCTCGTATTTCACAGGAAAGACCAAGCTATATTTCTGACTGCCTGCGTCCTGCTTATGTAACTTGCAGATGACGGCTGTGCAACCTCTGGCTGAGCCCTGGAAAATTTTCTTGTCGGTGACTCAGGTGCTTGGCAAACAGGCTGGCGTGGCAGGCTTGGAGATAAGATTGCAGTTAGAGGCACTCCCTGGGTACCAGAGCCCAATTCAAGGTCCCTTTATGGAGGCTTTTCATACTAGAAGCTGTGTGGCTTGCTGACCGTCCTGGTCATGTCATTGCTAAGAGTCTCTGTGCTGATGCTGTATTCATTATGTGCAAGTACAAAGCATCCCCCTTGATTGCATTGAAGTAGAAGGGAACCATAGCCCTGACTGTTACCCAGAGATGTGGGTCAGCAAGGAAGGAGGAGAAGAGCTAGGCAAGAATGAATCCTTGGTCTTTACATAAATGTTACCTATAAAATTCCCTGCAGGATGTGGGAAGAGTGTTTAGTGCAGCTGGGCTGCAAAAATGGGACTTCATGGGGAAGCACAAGGTCCCCTTTTGCAAGCCCTGTTCCCAGCTCTGTACAGTCACCATAACAGTGTTGGTTTCAAGGCTCTAGATCTGGCTGAAAGCTGAAGGGCAGGACTACACATTGTACTTGTGCTGTAGGAGTAAAATTGAGAACTAAAAAGGGAAGAATTAGATCCAGGGATGAAGGGGAGAAAAAGGAAACAGAGGCAGAACTGCTTCAGCTGCAAATTAGACTTTCCTGTAGGTCAGCTGTTGTCTCCAGCAGCAGCAGATGCCAATTTCCACCTCTTTGGAAGTATGACTGAGAGGAGCTAGGAGGTGCATACTACCAAGTAGGTTCAATCACTGCAGTAGGGTGAGGCTGGGACAAGTATAAGATCCCCAAATACAGCCCATCTTGTATAAATCTATGCAGCAAGCCCCTCTGGCAGTCCAGCCAAGTTTAAAGCAGTACTTAGCTCACTGCTGCACAGAGCCTGTTTGCCAGACTGCAATGAGGGGCGACAAAAAAAGATTTTGCCACAGGGATGACCTGGTGACTAATGAGTTTTCATTGATCTTGTGCTTGCAGGAGAGAACAATCTACCCTGTGCAGTTCCTGTGAGCTTTTCTGCTGGAGGCTCTGAAAAAGCAAACGTGAGATGTTATCTGAAAGCGGAGCTGTGTGAGCCCACTGAACCTAACAATGCTGCTCTCTCATGGATGTATGAACAAGACAGTGTGGAAGATACCAGCGTCAGGAAATCTCTTGATGGCTTCTACAAAATGTATTGCAAAAAACGGCCAGACAGAATGGATCCCACCTACGAGGCTGCATCACGATGTCTGTCGCAGAAGGTTTCAGAGCTAGCAAACCGGGATGGAACAAAATATGCATTGCGTTGCCTGCAAATGGCCCAGGTGGTCTTGAACAGAGATGGGTGTAAGATCTTTCCAAACCACCCCACTGCTGCTTGCTTTTCAAAGCCAGCTGAGGGAGAAGTTGTCTTGGAAGACAGAAAGAGAACACCCGGACTTTCAGATGACATCCTGCAATTCCTCTTGAAACAAACATGGACAGAACATAGCCCTGACATGCCACATGAGAAGTGAATAAGATGCTAGTTTATTTCTGTCATTGGAGCTTGGCTTTCACTCTGAAAAGAGGTGACTTTTTGGAAAGACGCTGTTCCTCTTAGCACCACCTTCAATGCCACATATTCCATGGAGGGGTTCATCTGGAGCAGGCCTTGCCACCTTGGCCTCTGCAGGAGCAGCACCGCATAAGGAGCATCTGTGGTTCCCATGTAGCTGCTTGGGATGTGCTGACTAATTGGGATGGGTGGTGGGTGATAATAGTGTCGGTTGCTGGGACATCAAACATGATGATTTCTACATACCAGGCTTTTAAATTGACCTACATCCCTACCCCAGCTCAATGTGGTCCAGCCCAAATTCAGCCCCTGTGTAGGCATGGATGTCCAAGTGCTGTTGACTATAACAGACTGATTGAACGAGCTTGGCACAGTACACCCCAGACCTAGGGAGGAAACTTAAGATTTTGTTCTGTATCTGACTGATATTGTAATGCCTATGCCTGCATGGGGGTGCGTGATAGCTGTGTGTGTTTACCTACAGACATATGATCCCACAGATAATGACTGCAATGCAAGTGCGCTTTTTCAACAGAAAAAGTGTGTGTGTGCATGAGAGAGAGAGGAAATACAGCTTCTGAGCAGGTGGTTTTTTTTAACAGGAGGGATAAAAAACAGAAAAGCTGTATCACCTTGGTGATGTTTCTAACACTTCAAATGCACCAGCTGAGCAGAATGGGTATTTTTCCTATCTATATGAGCTGTTTTAAGACCAACCTAAAATACATTCATGAGTAAGGGCACTGCAGAGGTGTTCATAAGGAAGCTGCAGAGTTGGTGCCAGCTGCCCTGTTAGCTGCCTGCTGTAAGATGCAGAGTATCTAGGAAAAGCAGAGCTCACATCTCAGCATGCCCAAGACTGTGGGTTGCTTGATTGATTCTGTAGTGGCAATGCTACTTTCTCCAGCTCTCTCCCTACCCATTGGCCCCTGCTGATTTCTGCCACCATGGGGTCTGAGCCCAGAGCTTTGGCAGAGAGGAAGCCAGTGCTCATTGCTTGAGTACACTCTTATTGTCTTCGTTGGCACTGCGCAAGACCTTGTGATTACTTTCCTGGTGTGTTGATGGATGAAAGAAAGCATTCTGTGAGATGTTTGAACCATGGAGGTGGTTGCTGTCCAGTAGGGATCATCTGGTGTTTGTTGGTTACAGCAAAGGTTTGCTTCTTCTAACAAGCTCTGCTGCTCTTTATACAGAGCTCTGGTTTTAGCTGGCAAGATCACCACTGGCTGCAGTGGGAATGGGCCCAATGTACTGATTGCCCAGCTTGAGTTGTGGTGACTATTGCTTGCCCTATGACATTAAGAGGTGACCTGAAGGACTAATTCCCAGCAATTGGTTTTTGTCACTGTCACCTGGGGAATTTAAAGTGCTCTGGGTCTGATGCATCGCTGTGAATTTGGCAGGACTAATTCTCCTTTGCTTTGTGCTTGTGGAAACTGGGAGTGAATCCCAAGGAAGACAGCTGCATGAGGGATGCGGGACTGGGATCCCTCTGTCAAACCCTTGGTGAGAAGGGTGCTACTGTCACGCAAGGCTGCAATTCAGGTCCCTCTGCTCAGCATGTGGGAGCCCTTGAAGTGGCCAACCAGGAGCAAGCAGAGCTTCCAATCCTTCTCTGGACAGGTTGTCAAAGCTACGCTTTACTGACTGCAGTTATTCTTACAAATGTTCTGTTCTTGAATGAATGTATCAGGCTTGAAAAGAGACACTTGGGTGGGAGAAGATAGTTATGTGATAGTCCTTACCAGGGTTGCCAGGCCCACTGCTTTGATGTAGTTTTTGCTTTGTTTCACAGCTTGCCTGGGGGGTTTGCAAGTCAAAAAAACCTTCTGGAAAAATTCTGAGCTTTGTCTTCTCCAAACTTTTATTGTTAGAGTTTCATTAAAATTTAGAATAAACCTAATTATTTTATGGCAGTTTTTAGTATTTTAGGTGCTTACAGAAGCAGGGCAGAGCTCAGCTGGATAAATTAGGGTCCAAAATCCCATTGGTTTTTAATGATAATGAAACATGATAGAGTTTAGAATATCTGATCATTCCTACTGTGAAATGAACAGCTCCATTTCTGGAGAAACACTTAATTTTAGGAGGTGTTTCACTGGGATTTTATAGTTCAGTCACTTTTATTAAGTTAAACAAGACTCTAGCACAGAGGATAACACTCATCATTCCTTTTCCCACTCACTGCTAATTAATTTTTTACAAACCTGTGCTGGAACCTGCTGCATGTATTTCCAAGTCTACTGAAAGCCAAACCTTGTATTACTCATTTCCTTGATATGCATCTCTCCTTGATTTCAGGACATGGGGAGTTGAATGCCTCCCTCCCCTTTGCCAGGTGCTCCAAGCAAGACTCACCAGTTGCTTTGAACAGGCTGTACTTGAAAGAAGCACAGTCCTATTTGGCATTTTATGATGCTACATAGAAGAAATTGTAATAATGAATATTACCTCTAGTGAGCAATAGCACAGGGGGCCTAACATGTCTATTTGAATTTCTTAAGCTGATTTGCAGTTATAACTAAGATGTGTTGCTTCAAATTAACTAAGTTGGATTTTTTTTTCCTCCTATTTTTCTGGGTTCTTTGCTTTTTTTGTGTGTTGCTTTTGTGACTTTTCTCAGCCTAATAGAGGGGAATCTGCTCATGTTCTGGATCCACTAAATTGCTCTATCACAGGCTGCTTCACCCTCTTCTTGCATTGGAGTCTTCAGAAAGGTGGAAGCATGTTTCAAGGAGCAATCAGCTTCAAATGTGTAGGGCTGCCAGGATCCTGTCTCAAACTAGTCCTCAGCATTGCAGAGTGGGACAGCGGTGTAACAATGCCAGTGTACCTCCCACCACTGCAAACACAGCCACAGGTGCCTTGTCTGCTGTTGCCAGTTGTAGAGGCATGAACTTGGCCAGAGCTGCTGCCCCCCACAAACAACAGTGTCCAGCCAGTGATGGGAGAGAGGAGGAGGACAGACCCCAGGAAGAGTGAGAGCACAGGGAGGAGGAGGAGGAGGGATTTGGCAGGGGGAAAACTGCCCCAGGTATGCGGGTGGGTGAGTAGGTGCTTTGGATTGAGCTTTTGGGCAGCTGCTGTCCTGGATGTTGCCCCCCACACCCCAGCCGCTCATCCTGCAGACAGGGTAAGGAGGCAGCCCTCCCCCAACAGGGCAGAGTGCTCCCAGGCTCCTTCCCCTGCCAGTTTAAATGCAGCTTGACAGCGCTTTTGTCCTGTTTTCCTCCCCACCATCACCCCTCCACCACCTCCAGTTCCTTTCTGTCTTTCATGATGGTGCTAACGAGATCCCTGGAGGAGTTTTCCCTTTAAAATGAAACAGATCTGTCTGAGCCCAAAGAGTCTGATGTCAGTCAGCAGCAGAGCAATGAACCCCCACACAACCACTTAAGGTCTCTCTCTTGGAGGCCTCCTATCTCGTGGCTCAGTGGCTTCTTTGCTGCTTTACTCCCTCTGGCAGGAAGATTTGTGCCTTTGTGCATGTTTTCCACCCACTGGTTTGTCCGTTGAAGGGGTGGTTTGCTGTGGTGATGTTGCTCGCTAACTGGGGAAGCCATTCATTCTCCAGTGTGGACGTGTTCAAGGAAGCACAGAGAGCAAGAGGAAGGGATGTACAGAAGATCACAGCATATGGGCGAAGAAGAAAGAAGAAAGAAGAAAGGACAGTTGGGATCTCAAAGGTCAATGTTGAGGTTCCCAGCTAATGCGGTTACTCCAGTACAGACACACTGCTTGCACCAGTTTTAGCATTTGATCTTCAGCATTTCAGTTTGGAGATAGCTCTTACTCTGCCAGCCAAGCTGCTGAGACCTCTCATCTGTTCCCTTTCCACGCTGGCCAGATCCCAGCATGGGTGTTTGTGTTTTGTGCACGTCAGATTCCCTGCTGCAGTTTCACATGGGGCTGCTATTCCTGCCTTGCTGCCCCAGGCAGATTGGCACAGCTGCTGTGCTCTGCAGGTGTTTCCAGCAAAGGCAATGGAAATTTGGCTGTTGACTTTAACCAGAGCAGGAAGAGGTCCTGCTGGCCCAGCTGGCTACAAATTATGGCCAACGTCTTTGGACTTGGTGCAACCTCTCTTTGCAAATAGATTTATACTGGGACTGTCTGGGTTTACGTTGCTGTCCTTGAGTCATCGTGAAGGTGATACATTTAGCTTCTTGGTGGTTCTGCCTGATGTGTTGCTTGCTTTTATGGCAGGGGCACACAAAATATTGGAGCAAACCCTCAGCTGCTCCAAGTTAACTCAAGTTAATGGTGCTAGGGGAAAAAAAGGAGTTGAGATGAGGATCCAGCATAACTTCTGTAGTAGTAAATCTATCCACAAGTGCTGGTCTGTCAGAATCCAGAGGAAAGCATTCTGCAGGCAGAAATTACAGAGAAAGGTAATACCAACTGCTTCAGCAACAGATAGAGCTGGAAAAAACAAACGTGCTCTTGAGCGTGCTATCAATAATCACAGTAACAATACTAGCCTCTCCCTGCCAGCTCACATTGCTTAACCACCACAGATCTGTCACGGCTACAAGGGCATTAATACTGACGGATGTAGGGAGCTATTGCTAAGGATGTACAGGGAAGAAGGAAGGTCTTCAGTGTGAATCAGATGTTGCTTATAATTTTTTGCCAGCATCTATGCTGTTCCACACAGTTAAATATGAGTTGCTGTGCAAAATCTTTTAATTGCCATTTTAAAGAAAATAACCTCCCAGAAAGACAGAGCTGAGAAGTCAAAGGACTGCATCTGAATCCCTTCAGTTGCTGTATTAGCTTTGGTGATGAATTGGTCTGTCCTTTGGGTTAGCTCTAAAACCACCTGGTCTCCTAGTCAGATTTTTAAAAAAGAAAAAAAAAAAGCCAAACCCATACAATTTCGACAAAGAAAGCTTGGAGCAAAATACGAGGTTCCTGTTCTTTAGGAGAGTCCTGCTGATGATGATGTTTGAGATA